ATGGAAATGACCAACAAACGACTGCTACCACTTGAGACCCATACCAAGAGAGGGAGCCCATGCCTGACAATACCTGGAGGACCAGAACCCAGAGGTTGAACAGTTGAGAGATCTAGGATAGAACAAAACGTGTCTGGGAAAAAATTGTCAAAGAAATGATTCCAAATGATATTTTGCTATACTCATAGAGGGTTGCCTAGGCCAATTGCCATCAGAGAGGCTTCACCCAGCAAGTGATGGAAACATGCAGAGACACATACTCAAGCATTAGGCAGACCTTATGGAATCTTGTGGAAGAGGGGGGAAAAGGATTATGGAGCCAGAGGGGCCAAGGACACCACAAGAAAAACCACAGAATCAACTAACTTGGGCTGTTAGGGACTCACATTTTCTGAATTGCAAAGCGGAGAATTTATATGGGACTGACTTAGGCCTGCTGCACGTGTTACAGTTGTGTAGTTTGATCTTCTTGTGGGACTTCGAACAGTGGGAGCAGGTGCTGTCTCTGACTCTACTATTTGCATTTGAGAACTTTTCCTCCTCTTGGTGAGTTGACTTGTCCAGCCTCAATAAGAGAGGAGGTAACTACTCTTATTTCAGCTTGATGTGCCTTGTCTGGCTGTTATACATGGAAAGCCTGTCTGTTTCTGAAGAGAAGGGAGAAGGAATGGATGGGGGAGCTGGGAGAAGAGGAGGGAGGGACAGGAAACTGTGATCAAGCTGGGACAAATTAATTAATCATTTAAAATAAATGAAAAGGAAAGGATGGATTTCTTTTTTACAGTTTCCTGTATGTATGTCATCTCCTTTGATCATATTCAATCCACAACTCTCTTTTGTCTCCCTGTCTCCTCCTTTTTATTTCATTTCAGTAATTTTCTTATATATTATAAATGAAAGACTTCATGCAGGCTCTTCCAGTATTTTAAATAATAATCAGAATTTAAAAACGAAAGTGAACTATTCTTTAAAGAAATTAGAATTAGCGAGTAATTATAACTAAAAATAGCACATAGAATATAAACAAATACTTTATGCCATATTATTATAGTTATAGTTATGAACAGAGTATATACAAACATTAGTTAACATCCCTGTTACACCTAAATGATAATTTTAATGACAATTTGGCTCAGTAACATCTAGAAATAGAAATGATTGAAAATAATTACAATTCATGAGAAAAATTTCTGAAGTACACAAAAATCTCACACACATAGTGAATCACCAGAAGTTTTCTGACTATCAATAAATATTCTGTTTCCAAACTACTATTCAAGCATTAGTTACTGCTTTGTCTCAGATTTGGAAAATTAAAGAGATGTGGAACACTAAGAGTAGTACAAAGTTAAATAACAGAAGTAAGCTAGTTATTTCTGCTTGACAACAATGTTGTTAATACTCAGTTTTTATCAATATACTTAAATTTTTTGGGACCAATGTATGAAATCAGCAATCTGGTAAATTGTAAGAAAATAAGAAATGGAGGGATCAGGTTAAAGCTAAGACAGTACTTGCCTAGATTGTCTGAGGTTGTAGGTTCCATCCCAGCACTATTAAAAATATATCAATGATACACTGATAACGAACATGTAAGAAAGGAAACACTGAGAAAATAATTATTTTGTACAAAATTAAACAATGGATAGAAAAGAGGGAGGTGATAAAATTAAGGAAGCTGATAGAATGGTGGAGTAGTGATCAGCATAATACTATGTGGGAACAGGGGGAATCTGGAAAATGGAAAGAAGGAAAAGCAAAGCTCCTTGGACTGCCTCTTCCATGAACTGGGAACACGTGGTAAGGGTTGGTCCTACAAGAATTCTACGGTCTCCTGCATTTTGATCCATTGTAAGAACAAAACTACTGAGGGAGGGTGACGGCAAGAGTGGAACAATCGTGCCCAAGTTATCAATAGGAGCTTTCAGTCAAGCCTGGCTAGCTCCCATTTTCCAGCTTGGAATCGAAAGAGTTTTCTAGAAGCTGTTGTTATTATAGCATTTCTTAACTCTAAAATGTTTACTGCTGAGCTCCACTGATGAAAATGTTTAACTTAACTATCGTCATTTATAACAAGCGAAAACCAAGGGACTTCTGTGTAAACACATTGCAACCACTTACAATAGGATTGTGAATCAGAAGGAAGAAGTGATATCAAGAGTGAAAAAAGTAGTGTACAGTAATGATTACTAGTAAGAATATTATGTATAAAATATCTATTTGGTAAAACTATCTTTACAAACTCAGGTGTTAGAATTAAATTCCTGAAAAAGAAAGAATTATGTAGATAATAGAAGATAAAATTGGAACTCAATAATTGAAAGTTATTAAAAAATCCCATTTTAATTAATGAAGTTTGAGTTGTCATTGTTAAGTAATCAGACATGTGGTCATATCTCTGATAACATAAAAAAATCTGGACTCATATAATTCCATGACATATATTCATGAAAGTTGAACCCTTTTGTTGAAACAATAATCTTATAAACATACAGGTATATTCCCACAGAAGATTCTGCATTCAATCATTATATTTTCTTAATTACTGCTAGAATTGGGAATATACCTTAGAGAACCAGGGTAGAGAGTTTGTTTCCTTTACCTCTTTCCTTAAAAAATTAAATGTGGAAACAACTTAAATATTTATATCTAGGACAAAACCAAATCTTATAATTGGTAATTAAGTATAATAATCTAACAAAAAATTTCAAAAGCTTGAAATTCAAAATAAACATATGAAAGCTACATATTTCCTACATGAAAATAATCAACTTGAAATATTTCATAACAAATGTTATATACAAGCTTAATATGAGCCTCCTGACAAATTTTAAAAAACACTAATAAATATGCTGAAAATATGTTTTTTTCTGTAGTTTTCACGGGTGAGAAATTAAAAATTATTTGTCTTTCAGAAATAGTGAAAGCACGAATGGATTAATGATGTTCACATTGGTATATTTCCTTTTGTCTGGTTCCTTACTTGCATTAAATGTGTAGTAAAATGCAGTGCGAGACAAAATAATTAAGGGCCATCTGGGGGTGTAGTATAGAGACCTAATACAGAAGAAACTCCCTAAATGTATACACATATGAAGATGATCTAAATGATATTCCCAAATAACTGGGAACAGAGATCTAATTGGCCATTTCTTGTCAAGAAGTAAAGATTCCAGTACCAGAATGAGGTTAAATTTAATTGAGTAGGTGGCCAAAGGGCTCCCATGGGTATTCTTAAACAGCCCAGGCAGTTAAGCAAGACTGAAATTTGTTCTTCACAAACTGACAGCAAGGGCCCATTGTTAAAGATAATACCTACACCAGATAGCTCAGCATCCTAGGGTAAACTGAATAATACTGGTCTAAAAAAGATAAAATAATGTGGTGATAAAAATGATTCATAATGATATTCTGCTATACTTGTAGATCACTGCTTTATACAGCCTTTATCAAAGCAGGTTCCTCCTTCAGCAGATGGGAACAAATCATAGCCTAACATAACACTGAGAGTGATGTACCTAAAGGATGTCTCAATCAAATATCTCCCCTTAGAACTCTGGGAACCCTACTGAAGAGGGGCAGAAACAGTCTAAGAGCCAGAAGCAACTGAAAAACACCAACAAAACAAGGTTCTCTAATTCAACATGAGCAAAGGTCATAGGAACTCAGAGACTGAAGCAGCATGCACAGGGCCTACATGGGTCTACACCAGGTGCTTTGCATATATATAATGGTTTTCAGTTTAGTGTTTTTGTATGGGATTCCTGAGAGTTTGAATGAGTGGGTCTCTGTCTCTTCAATCTTCTCCTAGGATCTTATCTTTCTGTTGCTTTGTGTTACCCAACTTTGATGTAATAGTTTTTGTTTCATCTTATTATATTTTTAATATGTATGTATGAATGAAGGAATAAATGGAAATCTAAGCAATAGGGTAAAGATTAACAACTTAAGTGCAATTTCTACCTGCTGGGAGAAGGAACAGTGGGTTATGGCAAGTACTCAAGAACTCATGTTCAAGTGGAGTTGATCAATAAGTAATGTACTCTACAGGTTTTTGTTTGTTTGTTTGTTTGTTTGTTTTTGTGTGTAGTTTTACTTTGCTACAGTTTGGTGGGTAATTTTAGGGGAGTTTATTTTTATTTTGGGGGGAGTTGATGTTATATTATTCTTTGTTTTCTTTTAGACAGAACCTAAAGTACGATCAGTAAGAAGGGGGAAAGGACACAGAAAGACTTAGGAAAAGGGAAGAATTTGACCAAAATACATTTAAATTTAAATTTTTTTTAAATAATAAAATATATAATGCAAAATCTTTAAAAATGTGGTGCATATGATTGCATGATTATTAAAATTAAAGTTGTGATTTAGAAGCATGATATTCATCTGAAATTCTTCCAAATGATAGAAGCAATAGTTGGGGAGCAAGAGAAGTCTGGTCATATTCATAGGTGGTGTTGAAACACCCTATCAATCACAGGTTCATAAACAAGCACATTTTCAAGTATTTGAAAATTCCTCACTACAGTAAAGATTTAACAAGTTTATCTGTGTCTTAAAAAAAGACATACTGGAGCATGTCAGTGAATACCATGGCCTCAAATCCTCATTTTAGTCAGAAATGCCATACTAAAATATTATCAGAAGATGCCTGACTAGATAAGGTCTGTCAGGTCCTTGACTTTGACTCTTTAAACATTCAAGGAAAGAGTAGCCAGGATGACATTTCAGTTTTCTTTCTTTCTTATAAATATGTATTTCTATAAAACATTACTTTTTTTCTATATTTAAGGCAATAGGTTGATGTTACAAGTTTGCCTTGCTTCACAAAGGTTTATTTTGCTTAATCTGTGAAGCTCTTTTCTTGGTTATAAGTGTAAAACTTCCCCTGACTTTAAAATTAATCCCAAAGAAATTTATTTAAACATCGTATGTCTAGAAGACATAAAAATGGCCTATTATATGGCTAGTCATAAGTCAAGAAAAGTAATCATTAGCATTACCTAGAGATCTAGAGAGCAAAAGAGAATGCCTGAAGTCCAGAATAAAGCCTGTGTGATGATGAGACAGAAACAACTTCCTCCATTGGCTCCTCAGGTTTGGAATCTTCAGTTGACCCATGGAGGAAAAGTCGAGTGTCTCTGAATAAACACAGCACACCTATGATCAATGATAGTCGAGTAAAGGAAAACACAGGGATCATGCCTCTCGGGCACTCTACAGTTCAACCCCGAGGAAATACACCTGCTCCAATGAGTTTGTCTTTTGGAACGATGACAAGAGTTCAGGAAGGTGCTGAAAACACAGTCTCTTTTGTATTTCATCTCACTGTATTTGGACTGTTAGAGATTCTATTTCTTTATGTGTGTGAATGTTTCTGTGTTTAAATATAATCTATTTGACACATTTATATATCTTGTCAATTGCTTTATTATATTATTGTTGCTTTAATAACATAACTTGATAGCCTAATCTTTAATTTCATCAGAAAAATTAAAATTAAAATTTTTTAAATTAGAGCTACTATGCAACTAAAAGTTTGTTTACTATCAATTACTATACAGAATTTCATTCTTATTTCAAAGTATACTCTTAAGACACCAGTTCCTCAACATTGTATACATATTATAGATGTAAATGTCTTTTAACATCTATGTGAAAAGAGAAAATAAATGATAACTTTCCAGTGCATCATGAAAGAATAAGTTACTTATGTCTTGTGTCATCATCTGTTGTAATCAGAACTGAAATGACTGTCCTAAGAAAACATGGTCCTCTGAAACTGTACAGATATGAATAAAAAAAAAGTCTTGCTACTAATATGGGTGCCTAATTCCTTATTTCAGAAAATGGTACTGTAGCAAGTTCCTCTAATAACTTATACATATAATGTAACTAAATATCTAACAATTTTCAACAAGCACTAGAGTTAGAGATAACATATTTAGAAACTTAATACCATGTTCTTATTCAGATACACATATGAATTAAACAAATATCCTTAACAGAGTATCTGTCACATTTCAAAATATACATTCAGAGACAAAATCATTGGTTTCTTTATTTTATTTTGTTTTATTTTACATTTGTCTAAATGCATACCTGTCTACCACATGTGTGTCTGGTGTAATTGGAGGCCAAAAGAGGCACTGGAATCCTGTAGAACTGGGTTACAAGTGGTTTTGAGCTGACATATGGATGCTGAGAATTTAGTTCAGGACTTCCGGAAGAGCAGTCAGTGATCTTTACTGCTGAGCCCTTTCTCCATGATTATGATAAAAGTCTTTAATTAAATAATTACATAATGATTTAAAAATAATTGTAGTGTGTCTTTTAACATAGCATGCTTTTGATAATTGAAAATTATGTATTTAGGTGCTAGACATTAATACCTGAAATAGTAAGCAAGTAAAGAATGTTAAAGTACCTCAAGCCTCTTATGTTTTAGATATGGTACCTTTGATCTTACAGTAAAAAATTACCTGTTATTAAAACACCAGGTGAGTGGCAGAAAATGAAATATATTTTAATATTTGCTAATGAAAAAACATAGTATTTAATATATTGTTAAAAATATGCTGCTGCGTGTAAGACAAATTGCTAAACAGTCTTATTAATAAAAACAGAGACAGATATTGGGGTGAAAGCCAAGAGATCAGAGGAATAGGACAAGCCACAGCCAACCTCACCTTATCGACTCCTCAGCCTCTAAAGAGACCTACCCACACCTGTGAGCCTTTCTATCCCTGCCATTTCACTTCCTCTCTCTGACCAGCTACATCACTTCCTCTTTCTGCCCAGGTCTGTCACTTCCTGTCCGTCTGTACAGACCTCCAGACCTTTGTGTTTAACTAGTGTTGGAATTTAAAGGCATGAGACACCATGCTTGGCTGTGTTCCCAGTGTGGCCTTGAACTCACAGAGATCCAGATGAATCTTGGCCTCCCAAATGCTAGGATTAAAGGCATGTGCTACCATTGCCTGACTTCTATGCTTAATATAGTGGCTGGCTTTTTCCTCTGATCCTCAGATAAGCTTTATTAGGGTGCACAATATATTGGGGGACACAATATATCACCACAGATGAGTATGTCAGATATAAATTGTAATTTTACTTTAAAATATTCTTGAATTTAGTTCTACTCAAGAAATATTTATATTCTAAAATATATTAGGCTCACTTTAAAGTAGCCGCTGCTCATGCTTTGATGAATATAGACAAATAAAAATATCCAGGGCTAGTAATAGTAGTGAAAATAAGTTGCTTAGAAACAACAGAGGTTATAGCCATGAAACCACAATACCTGTGCCCATATAAGAATTAAGCAATTATGTTTGTATGACTGTCTGTCTTTCTAATTTTCTGTCCATACATGCATATATAAATAATTTATATGAAGATATATTTCAGGCTGAAAATCTTTCCCCAAGAGCCATAAACTATCAAAATTTCTGGTATCAAGCATGGAAAACTGCTCTTTGAGTTCTTGATTAAGTGAGTACAAGAAATCCTAAAATAATATATGTTCTGTTTTTGTAGTTCAGGACTTGAAGGTAAGACCTTATTGATGAATGCAACACTTGCTTTGTACCCAAGAATTGGATGAGTTGAACTGGAACTGACCTGAAAGCCTCCTCCATGAGGACTAGTTCTCATGGTATGCATCTCAATGTACTACGAAAGCTGTCAAGAAAAAAAAAAAAAAGAAATCAATATATGAACCACTAGAATGAACACCGTGACAATATACTACCAAATGTGCAATGTGGCAGTTATATCTTAGAGGTAATCAAAGTTCATCTAATTGGACTTAAGGCCCACTCAATAGGAGGGCATTTATATCTGATACTATAAACATAGATAAACACTGTCTTAGTTATGGTTACTATTACTGTGAGGAGACACCATGACCACGAAAACTCTTATAAGAAAAACATTTAATTGAGGGGAGGGGTCTTGCTTACAGTTTCAGAGGTTTAGTCCTTTATCATCATGGTGGGGAGCATGGTAGTGTGCAGGCCTACATGCTTCTGGAGGAATAGCTGAGAGTCCTACATCATGCAGGCAACAGGAAGTCAACTAACAGTCATATTGAGGGAAGCTTGAGCAAAAGACCTCAAAGCCTGCCTCCACAGTGATGCACTTCCTCCAATAAGACCACACCTCCTAATAGTGCCCTGTGGGGGACATTTTCTTTGAAACATCAAAAACATTTTGAATAAAGGCACTCGGGGTGAAAAATGATTGTTTTATCTCATATTATATAGTCCATTGTCAGGTTAAATAAATAAAATGGGGCAGGAACCTGGTGTGAAGAACTGAAGCAGAAATATTTAAAGAAGGCTGTTTGTGTACTTTTTTTGTTTTTTGTTTTGTCTTGTTTTTTATTTTGAGACAGGGTTTCTCTGTATAGCTTTGGAGTCTGTCTTGGAACTCACTCTGTAGACAAGGCTGGCGTGGAACTCACAGAGATCCACCTGCCCCTGGTTCTCAAGTGCTGGGATTAAAGGTGAGTGCCACCACCACCCCGCTGGTTGCTTGCCTTTTACATCTCCATGGCTGAGGTGGCTTGCTTTTTCATGAAAACTAACCATCATATAGACTTCCTGTTGGGGTAGATGGTAACTAACATAGAGATCCAGAACTGCACAATATACAGAATGTGAGAGACTTTGAAATGCTCAGTCTTAAACAGGATGTCCTCAAGAAATGTCTCCACTCAAGAGTCAAGGAGCTTTGGAGATGAGGAGGCAGAATAACGGTAAGAACCAGGAGGGATGAATGACTCCAAGGAAACATGGCCTTCCAGACACAGCAAAACTGATTCTCCTGGGAACTCACACAGGCTGTGGAATCATGCGGAGGCAGAACATATTCAAGCAGGACAGCTCACACTGCTGAGGAGGGAAGGGGACAGGAAATCCCATCTCTAATCAAGAAGTGGTCTCAAATCAACAACCACCTGCAAAGGAATAATGAGATTTCTTCAATGGTGTCTCTCACTGGGTATATAAACCACTGGTAAGTATAGATACTATGTCTAGCAATAAAAACAATACAAAATTAATAGCTATTTTACATATTTTTCTCATATTCTATTATTTTGCCACTTTTTATCTTATTGGTCTTTTGCTTGAATATTTCTTGAGTATTTTGGTTTCAGATCTTGTGGGTTTTTTTTTTAATGTTTGTGTGTGTGTGTTTCTTGTGCTTTTTCTTTACCAATCTAGTTTGTTTGAATTTATTTTATTATTTTATTTTCTAGTTTGTTTTCTTTCTTCTTTTTTTGTTTTTTGAGACAGGGTTTTCTAGTTTGTTTTCTAAAGAGACAGGAGGCTTGGAGTTAAAAGGGTGGAAAGGTGAGACAAATCCATGAGAAGATTGCTGGGGGATGTCCTGTATGCTGTGAATATGTGTTGCTATGATTGATTGATAAATAAAACACTGGTCAGTAGCCAGACAAGAAGGATAGTGTAGGCGGGACAAGAAGAGAAGAGAATGCTGGGTGAAAGAAAGGGAGGCCGAGAGAGACAGTGCCAGTCACCATGACGAGAAGCAACATGTTAAGATACTGGTAAGCCACGAGCCATGTGGCAACTTATAGATTGATAAAAATGGGTTAATTTAAGATATAAAAACAGCTATCAGAAGCCTGAGCCATTAGGCCATACAGTTTGTAAATAATATGTCTCTGTATGTTTCCATGGGTCTGAGGGCCACGGGAATCAGGCAGGAACAGAATAACTTCAGCTACAGAAGATGGGGAGGGGGAATATGGGCTGTCACATCAGTCATTAGTTAACAAAATTTTCCTTAGGCTTGCTTCCAGGGCAATTTTATAAGGTACTTTTTCGTGTCTGCTTTCTTCTTTCCAAATGGCCATGCCTTATTTCTATTTGACAAAAATTACCCAGCGCACTGTGAGCAATGAGGTCATAGAACCTAGAGGATAACCTATACTGTCACTTTCCTAAGTCAGTATAATTCTCAGCTGTATCCTAAATACCCATCCTTATACACACAGATAGTATACCTCTCAGCTTGCCTCAAATGAAATTATTTTTGCAACAGGTGGATGCAGTTACATAAATCCAGTCAAACCAAACATTCGAAATTTCAACATGGTGAACTATGTCATAAATGCACTGTTCATTTTAAAATTGAAATAACAATGAGATGCTGTGAATTTGAAAGAGTGCAAAGGGAGAGTGGCGCACAGGGCTGTGTGAATGTGGTAAAAGGAAGGGTCAATGGTATAATTGTATTATAACCTCAAAAAGTTAAAATACTATTAAAAACAATAAAACCAGTAATCAAAAAAATTAACTACAATCTTAAAACTGAATGACCTATTAAATGGCGGACAATATACACTTATATTTAGTGTAACCCCGTTGTGATATTTTTATTAATGTAATTTGAATATGGTAATATACACATAAACTATTTGATCTAATTTTCAAGTTAACTAAACAAATTCATATTTTGTGTCCTCACTACCACCATTTTAAAGTGTTTAATTTCCAAAACTAATCATACTTGTTTATTAAAAATTGACTTCCTATTGACTCAACTCATCATAATTAGAATTTTACCTTTTGTCTCAGACTTTTAATGACTTGAGCAATTCATGTTAAAGAAAACATCCAGTATTTTTTATGTTAACAATACCTATTATACTGATGTCTGTGACCTGTCTTATTGATTCATTTTGTGTGTGTGTGTGTGTGTGTGTGAGAGAGAGAGAGAGAGAGAGAGAGAGAGGGAGACGGAGAGGGAGAGGGAGAGAGAGAGAGAGAGAACTTTCTTTTTTTCAAGACTGAAGAAAACTCTGTTATTAATGTATATTGTATATTGTTAACTTTTCCGTGGGCAGACAAGTAATTCTCTATCTTTCTTGCACTCTGCTATGAATAATGCAGATATGAACATAGATATAAAATAACTTTTGAGTTCTTTCTTTTAGTTGCTTCAGATAAATATTAACAATTTGGATAAGTGATTAATCATTTTCAATTTTTATAGAAATAAATTGCCATTCTCTTTTACATAGAGATTTTATTTTTTTTAAATTTCCTCTAAGTATTCAAGAAGCACACAATTTCTCCATGTTCTTGCCAATATGGTTTTTCTCTAGTGGCTGTTCTAATAGAAAGAAGGCACTATCTTGTGAGGTTTTAATTCATGGTTTTTTTTTAAATTATTACATGTAGGAGGCACAGAGGTCCTTGTGATCACAGATTAACACTAGAGGACCCAAGAATGTTAAACACAGAGGGTTTTTCCTTCAAAAGAAGGGATGCATAACCTGTTTATCTGTCCAGACATAGTTAATAGACTGGTGATCTTTGTGCTATATGCCCAGAACACAAGTGGATCCACCCTCAGATCCTCATAGTGAGATTAGCTTTTCTCAGACACTCTATAGAACCCACCTTTATGAACAGAGTAACATGCACATTAAAAGTTTTAATATAATCACATCTTATCTTTATTAAGCTTATTTTGTTCCTCACAGGGATTTATGTATGCTTTCTTGTACAAAAGGGACTGAGATAATTAAAACCAGGAAAGTTTCACAAAATTTTGCTCTGCTTCAATATGCCTAAAATAAACTTCTTGGGGTCAGACTCCCAAAGTTCAAATCAACAATGTGTAGAATCAAACTCTCTTCGTACATCTCACAGATCATTTCTCTGCTGGCCATGGTGGTAACAAAGTCTCCCAAAGTAACACTGTATTAATCTTATTATTATACTCTTCTCTTCCTCCCAACAATTTTTTCTTAAAATTATTAGTAATGAGTTTATCTTCATATATGTCTTAGTAACTTTTCTATTGCTATGATGAGACACCATCACCAAGGCAAATTCTGAAAGAAAGGCTTTAATTAGGCTTATGGTTTCAAAGTTTTAGAGTCCAAAATGGCAGAATAAAGGCATGGCTGCAGGGACAGCTGTGAGCTTATACTCTAAGCTACAGGTAGCAGACAGAGAATCACACTGGGAATAGCATGAAACTTTTGGAATCTCAAATTTCCCAATGACATACCACGTCCAACAAGGCCACACCCTCCAATCCTTCCCAAATAGGTCAACCAACTAAGGCCCAAATATTCAAACCTATAGACCTTTGGTGACCATTCTCATCCAAGTCACCATATTGCACCTATGGATGAATAAGGTAAATCATTTGATGTATTGTCACTAAAATGAACCAATTTAATTAATTTTATTTAATTTATATGTAACACATAATATTTAAACATAAAGTATTTCAGGCTTTCTAATAAAGTATAATACCTAAAATAGGAATTTCAATCAGAATACATCAGATGTTTTCTATTTTAAAACATGTTTAACACTTGTTTTTGCATGTATGTTTACTAGTTTGTCCATTCACTTGAATTTCCTACTTTGAGGCAATAACTCTGAAATTTCTTTAACATATTAGAACCTGTATTTGATGTTTGTTGATTTTCTCTCCTGAAACTATTAATTTAAAAGATTTATGGTGAATTGTTATCAGACTTCAATAAATGTACATGAATTTTTTATACTTCTTTTTTGTTGTTGTTGTTTTTCGAGACAGTGTTTCTCCGTGTAGCTTTTTGCCTTTCCTGGAACTCATTCTGTAGCCCAGGCTGGCCTCAAACTCATAGAGATCTGCCTGGCTCTGCCTTCCAAGTGCTGGGATTAAAGTCATTCACCACCACCACCACCCAGCCATTTTTTATACTTCTTAATGGGAGCAATAAACTGAATTAAAAATAATGCTTCTTTTTCATATTGGCAAGGGATATATGTGTGTTTACAGATATGCATATTTCACCTGCTGGCTGTTATTGTGATTTATGTAGACTGAAATCTTATTCAAAGTTTGAAATATTTGGTGTAGGAGAATTTGATCTCAGAACTAGTATATTTCATTCTATTCTGTGGAGTATTTTCCATGTTCAACAAAAATAATGGAGTAATAAACTATTTATATTATTGTGTTATATGTCTCCTGGCTTTCCATCAGTTTAGGTGTTGAAGCACTATTTTAAGAGGAAGTAATTTCTCAGTTATCAAATCATTTTTTTAAAACCAGTATAAAATATGTATATCTTACAACCATGGTGGAGATGTTTGCTCTGTTAGTATTTTTTTTATTGTGATAAAATCCACGACCAAACGCAACTGATTAAAGGAACGATTTAGTTTGGCTCTAGTTTAGAGGAGTAACAGTCCGGCATGGCAGGAAGCTGCAGGCAGTGTGGCAGGAGGAAGAAACTGATACATTGTCATATCAAGCAGAACTCAGGGAAAGCAATCTGAAACAGGATGAGTTGTTTAGGGTAATGTCTACAGTCCCTCTAGAGAGGTCATACATCCTAGTCTTCACCAAACATTATCAACAACTCAGAACAAAATGTTGAAATGCCTGAGCATACGGGAGACATTTCAGATTGAAACCTCCACAGAAGTCAAGGAATTTTCCTCAACCAATTTGGTTTTCATTTTTAAGAGTGAGTACATAAACCTAACTGTCAAACTTCATCCTAACGTAATCTTTATAAATAATAAATAGTTCCTTGGGAGGATAACTCATTTTGAATAGGATTGTGCCTTAGTTAAAGTTTCTATTGTGACAAAACACCATGATCAAAAGACTTGGGGAAGAAAAGGTTTCTTTTGTTGTATAGCTTGTTGTCCCTCACCCAAGGCAGGAATCAGGACAGAAATGAAAAGCCAAGAACTGATGCAGGAGATGGCCAGTTCAGGGACCCTCTCCATTGTTGCTGGGAATCTTAGTGGATTGCTAGGAGTTTCCCTGGCACCAGGTTTCTTCCTAGCCCCAAAATGTAGCCTTCTCTCAAGACATCTCTTTCATTATTCTTCCCTCTGTCCAGCCCCCAACTGGATCACTCATGATCTCACTGCCCCCATTCCCATGACCCCAGTTTACTCAGGGGGGG